GTCCTTAGTAATTGTTAATATTATTTTTCAGTTTGATCAGGCATCAGCACTACCTGCATTTTCAGCAGTTCAGGTGGGGACTCAGACTAAGTACTACATTGATTATAATTACTCTACCACGTTTGAGGTATGTATATTCAGTATCCGCTCGGAATGGTTGCTGGTCCATTCTGGGTTCTAGTGGCTTTAATCTGTCCACTAGAGTGTGCACATGGTGTCCGGCTTTGCCGGCAGATGTTCAGTTTCAGACAGGTGACTTATGTCACGAGATCAGTATCAGATTATTTAGACCAATATCAGATATCAGTTATCAGTTTCAGTTCAGTTCAGTTATATATGCAAGGATCATGATATTGTTATTATTTTCACTGTTTTACTTTAGTATGAGTTTCCACGGAGCACAGTGTTATAATGCTCACGACCCACTTTTATCATGTTTTTCAGGTCAGGATGTCAGGCCGGAGGTGTGATATGACGGATGATTCAGGACTTTTATGCTTGTTACTGTATATATTTTGAAGATGCTACGTTTCCGCTGATTTTGATGTTTTGACGAACTTATCTTTTGATCAGACTTCCAGATAATTAATGTTTTCAGCAAACCGTAGATTTTGCTAAAAAATTAAAATAACGGTTTCTCAGAATAAGTCATGTTTTACTGTAGCACCCCGAATCAGTTTTCGCAAATTAAAAGATTTTATTTTTAAAAGATTTTGCGAAATTACGCACTCTGATTTCACGATAAGGCGGGGTGTTACAATTGGTATCAGAGGCACGTTTCTGCGTCTCTGAAAAGTTTTCTAAGTCAAAAATTTGAGAAAAAACCTGAACCGTCACACTCACTCCTCGCCGACTACAGGTAGGTGCTGATTTATGTTTTCAGTTATGAACATATTACTATTGTCTATGCTCAGAAATTATTAATCAGGACTTAGTTAAGATGCTCGAATCAGGATCAGACTTTAGAACTCAGTGTACTCAGATATAACTCTAGACGTCTTCAGAATCTATATCAGTATTTTCCAGCCACTTTTGGCAACTCGTCAAGAGATCTGTGTACTTTAGAAATCAGTTAGAATATTTTTCATGTGTTCAATAATTTGAACTTTTTCAATGTTCAGATGTCGCCCCGTAGGGAACCCGATCACCCAGTTCTTCCTCAGGCTACGGTGGTCGCACAATTTCGCGACTATG